ATAATAAGGTTATGATATCCATAAAGTCGTAACTGCAGTGTCAACCGTTTATCTGTTGTTGCGAATTAGTTGTTCATACTGAAAAAATTTATTAGGTAGGTAGATTTTCAAGTGATCTTAGCTCATAATCTAATATCTTGGAATGCCCATCTCACCGTCAAATTTTCACTTATTACCAACACATTAATCTGTCTTGCTTCTTCTTCTTCTTCTTTTTTTTTTAATTTATTTTTTTGTCTGGTGTGCCCGTCAGTACACACATCGCCCATTTTCCTATGACAGAAGGGAATTCTATTTTGATTTGTAGTGATTATGAGGCATATCCCAAGAAACCATTATTCAGATAATAAAATAAAGATTATCATATGGACGTTTCCCTTTCCAAACTTCTCTTACTTTTGTATATTACGTTACATCATTGTATATTGTCTTACCCGCAACAATTCTTCAGAGTCCCTTTTGACACTTGCTTTTTGGGAAAAGAAATATTTATGATGTTGTCTTTACATTATCTTTTGCGTCAAGTAGCAGATTAGACATAATGAATTTAGAACACAGGATCAGAAAGTAAGGATCAAAGATAACTCGTACCAATTGGGCTGGAGAATAATGCCATCCTTCGTCGAGTAAATTTAATGCTAGCTGCTGTATGCCTGTATCAAGTGCACAAAATCAGAGGATTCTGGTTATACACCAATCAATGCTTCCAAAAATTTCACCAACTTCATTCAAAAGCAGAGATTAGGAAACAAATGAATTTTAGGGTTTCCAACTGGTACGACATTAATCTGTACATGCACGGAATTGAAATCACATTATAACCAAAAAAAAAAAAAAAAGACTCTTTATTTTCCTCATTAAAGCATCCAATGCCAAATAGATAAGGGGCATCGGTAGCTCGGGTGAGAAACCGTAGCCCAGTCTGCTAAACCAATGTTATATATACACCTCTCTCTCACATCTCTCCCTTTAAAATCATGAATTGCAGTCCAGTACGCCTTTCAACAAATTCAGCCCTTCTAATGATATGCTTCTCCTTACTCGAGTTGGAGGTACTTCTATCCGAGGGGGTGGATCAGCGGAAAAACAGACCACGATAACGGTTAAATTATCGCATGTGTTGCGCTTTAGTGCCTCCCTTACCAGCTCTCTTGAACATCTTTCAGGATCATTATGTAGCATCAGCTCTTTCCTTGCCATTGTAACAGCACACTGACTGCTCATGACATCCCAAAGCCCATCGCACCCCATTATCAGGAATTCATCTTCCTCTTTCAAATGCAATTCCTGCAGCTCTGGCTCTGCACTCAGTGGGCATGCAGAACCCTTGGCACCTTTCATGTGCCAGTCTCCTAGAGCACGAGCAACAGATAACTGGCCATTCAGGTAGCCATCATAAATCACTCCGCCAAGCTTCTCAATTCTAAGTTTTTCAGATGCACAGTTGGGCTTGTGATCCTTCGACACCTCAATTGCCTTGCCCCTCCTCCCCAGAACAGCTCGACAATCTCCAGCATTCGCAATTATCATTGTCCTGTACGGAAGGAAATGAGAATATCTGAAATGATTAGACAATGATTCTGAACACAACACGCATTTATTTTGACACGTTTAGAAAAGGAAACCTGGACAGATAAGCATTCAGGGTTTGAACAACGAATGTTAATCCCAGAAACTCACGCTCAAAGAAGAGACACAAAGAGGTCATGTAAAATCATTAATCCAGGAATCCCTAGAAACCTACCATAATTTTCATATTGACCATTTACTTGATTTTCCTATTATGGTTTGGTCTGGCTTCAGTATATAAGGTCGTAAAGGCCAACTTCAATATGATATTGATCGTTGAATTATTTGAACTCCCACCCACGTATTTTTTCCCTTATCCAGTTTCTTCCTCTAATTCCCCCTTCCATCTTCCATTCTTATATTCTCTGATTTCCTCTAATTTCCTCATTCTATTCCTTCCAACTGTCCCAAACAATTACTCTAGCAGTTCATTTCTTTCACTGTCAAGCAAAAAACGAGAATCTCATATCACAAAATAATTTTCCACGAACCTCAGGAAAAACGTCACCATCATTACTCCTATAAGAGCTACCATCTCAATTAGCCTTATCCCTACAGGAAAGGAAGGCCCCCAAGAAAAATGTTGTATGTTGTAAAATTTTGCTCATTGCATTTAGTAGCAGCACATATTGCTGAAGAATTTTGAATTAATCTTCCTAATGATCATGTCCTAACACATTCTCTTTGTGCTCACTGACAAAAATCAAGTGTGCTAATCCAAACGATAGGCAAAAGCATAAAATCGCTCCTGCTTGCTGATAGAAATATATCGTGCTAACTGACGCTTTTCAGAGACTGTAGATGCATACTATTTTGCAACAATTATGGATGCATAGAGACCATGCGGACACTTATATCACCATATTCACTATTCAGAATCTCAAGGGCTAAGAGAAATCATGAAAAATAAATTGCTTTCCCTTTAGTAATAGCCTCAAAACACATGATTAATGTAATTTAATGCTAAAATTTTCAACTCAATAGAAAAAAAGGTTGCAACTGAACAAGAAAACTTTCTGAAGAACTGGGGGGGAGGGGTACTCTCTTGAGGCTCTACCTTCCAAAGATGAAAGCAGTTAGAGCAGTTGTGCCGGACGAGATATCCATAGAACTAGCATCAGCAAATGCATAATCGGCTTTCATAAAAGCACTCTTAATTGCCTTCTCAACACAAATTGGGAAACATGAGTCTTCGACTATGAATCTGAGGATGTTATTTCTAACAAAAGCTGCTGCGTCTTTACCCCCATGGCCATCAAATACCTGCAACACATTAATTCCACCAAATACAAGTCAATTAATGAAAGGGCCAAAAACCTTATGTTGACATTAGATTCATGCGAATAAGAAAAGGAAACAAATAAACCTAAATTAGGTGGGATGGGGGGGTGTTTCAAATGATTTTCGGAACCTAATATAGAAAAATGAAAAATATGGTGGTTATTAGTTACTAAAAACCATCCCTTCAGAGAGAATATTATTCGGGTGCATTGAACACGTGACATACAAAGGGCCAATTCACCCATCTCAGGCCAATCACAGGAAACATCCTTGTGTTGCCTCGCCTATCTGGTCTATGGAACCAATGCCAATGCACGTTTTTAAATCCCAGATCCAGCCACTTTATTATGACCATTTGATCTTATTACGAGGGTGAGTTTAGATGCGCACTGCTACTAAGAAAAATTATTGGAAGCCAAAAATTAACCTTATAAAGAATAAAATGAACATACTGTACTAAGCAGATGAACAGTTGGCATCAACGCTTGTAGGCTTTACTTCTACAACGTTACTTATTAAAAGTCAAAAGTGATACTCACACCATAGAAAGCTCCAGGAGAAGTGAAATCTTCACATGCATGGATATGTCCAACAAGATCATCTATGCATATATGCTCGTCTTCCATGTACTGTTTAGGTCCCCTTTCTGAACAGCTACCCGATCTAAAGACAGGTAAGTATCCTGCTTTTCCATCAGGCGACTTATTGCCAAGAGTTTCAGCATCCAAGCTCTGGAGAATTTATGGGCAAGTTAGTAGATGAATATAGATTTCCAAAAAAAATTTAAAACAAAAATTAAAATAGATACAGGAACTAGTAAAAGCATTGATGACAAAGAGAACAATCACTAAACTACTAATACATATATTTCCGAAAAAACAAAATAGTACCTATTCCCCTCTGATAATTGCAACTAAATGAGGGTAATAGGATATTACACTTTTCAGTTATTACGCATCAAAAACAATAAAATGCTAGAATAGAAATCTATATCAGTTTTTTAGACTTAAGCTGTCCCAAAAGAAATATGTCGATCATGCATCTTTTGAATACCAGTCATACTACTTACTAGGAAAAGCAACCAGAACTCGATTCCCATAACTTCGTTAAGCCAGAGTCGTATATAAATTCTATGCTATACCTCAAATGCACAACCATCAAGCCATCCTACGAAGTTGAAAGGACATTATACATGTGATTTTAAAAAGGAGGCTATGAATTGAATCTCCATCTTCAAAAGGAAAAAAAATACATAAAATGTAACAATGATTAAACTCACTAAATCAGCTTGGCCTAGCAGCTTTATGGAGCTCACACTATGCCGCATAACTGAGAGGTGCCGGGGAGGTTTCCCACTGGTCATCTGTTTCAAACTATTAAAGCTATCAGAACTTTCATCATTCGTCGGTGATACATTGTCCTTATTGTATCCGCCGCCTTCTAGTAGGGTGAAGGGAGGTGAAAAATCTATACCCGTAGCCATATTTCTTTCCAAGACATAAATTTATCTATAGAGTTGATTTTGATTGACCCTTATCTCACAAGAGCTACGAACAGCGTCCTTGGGACAAAGCAATTCCCAGATAGATACCAAAGTTCCAAATTAGAAACTTGGAAACCAGCCTCGGTTGACCAATCAGAAATAATATGTGATGATTGCAAGTTCCAGCGGTATCAGCCAGGTCTGGGGCACGGATCAACCAATCGACCTCAACTTTACCAAATTATCCCAATCTAAATCTTAAAGATACGAGAACTTGAAATCAGCAACACAACGAGACCCGGAACAAACTGCAGATCAAACCATGAAAGACGGAGAAGAAACCCAGAAAACGACGGTAAAATCTGCCAACCTTCCCTTGCGTCCGATGGGAAATATCGGATCTACCATGCCAAATACTAAAATTTATTGTCGAAGGACCAAAACCCAGAGAGATAAAAAAAAATCCCCAAAAGTTGTCGAATAAAGTAAAGTGGAAAGGGGGGTTAAGATGTATTGCTGCAATTGAGAGAAGGGCAGACAGCAAAGTAAGTGCGTCGGAAAAGTGTGATAGAGATGATACGAGGCAGAGAAAAAGGAAATATATGGGTTTGGAAGAATCCGAGAAAAAAGGGTAAGAGAATTGTGACGGGGAGGACTGTAATTGACGAAGGGAATCGAGAAGCTTGGCGTTGGCGTTGGCGTTGGTGGTCTGAAAATAGAAGAAACCCTAAGACGAAAATGTCTGGAAGACAAACAGAATCTCTCAGGAGGAAGAAAATGAATGTGAAAGGGAGAAAAAGAGGGAACTAACTTGTATGTATTCGGTTGGCGACCGGCGATTCCAGGTTATCCGGTAGATCTCGTAGCTGTCAGTTGGGTGCGCGAATGGCGACACGTGATCAGTTATTATTGGTTTGTTTTGTGGCTGACGCATGACCATCACCCTTGTGTGAAATTTGTGGATCGGTGCCGCCAGAGACACCCAGCCGCTGGATCTCATAACTGGCAAACGGACGGTCTACCGCTGTCCCTCTCTCTTGTCCTTTTTGACTCTAAACACAGTACATGTCGCCACCTCCACACGTGGCACGTTCTTATTGGAGGCAAGTAGATGTTGCGGCTAAGATAGAAAGGGATTCGCCTCCGCTTTTCGGCGATCCCGCTTCGCCTCATCCCGAGGTGGGCTGGACCAACTAAAAGCCCAACATGAAAATTAAAGCCCAGGCCCGATTTAATTGAATGTAATTTGTCATTCTAAATAAACCAGTTTCCTTTTTTTTTTGTGCATAATTTCAAAAGTTTCCTGCTATTTTCAAAATGATAATGATTAATTTACTATATTTTAAAGTCAATAGACGTGGTAGGTGCAAGTCACTGATTAATTGGCGAGTTCATATTTTTTAGTCAATCGACCTAACCTCTCGTAAATTTCTTATTCACAATAGTTGGTGATTTACTGTTTTAAAACTAATAATGAACTAAAAAAAAACAGTAATACATTTTTTTTAAGGTGAAATTTGGATAGCCAATTATAAAATTTTTGTGTATGTAAATTAATGACTGGCTTGTTAAATTTAAATATATTGTTGGTGATTTAGTAATTGTTTAAATTCTTTACCATTTCCCTCGAAATATTATTTAAAATGAATTGCTGCAATATTATTGTTTTAATTCCATACATGAAAGTTAAAATAAAAATGTTGAAGCAGTGGTTAAAGTCTCTAATTTATGTAAGAGATTTAGAACTCCACCACATATGTGTTGATATTTAGAGAGAAGATAATACTAAATAATATATTTAATCTCCTTTTTACGACAAGGCAATTAATTAATTATTGTGTTTGATAATATTGGTATATAACTTTAAAGATGATTGTGCGGAGAGTGGTGGCCCACGCAAATTTAGATGGATGGATATGGCAGTTTGTGTCGGTTGGATTTGTGTACCGTGCAACCACGACTTTAAGCTGCAATAAACTATTATTTTAATACCTCCATTTTAAATACTTCAGTGTTTAACCCTTTCTCTTTTTATTTTAAAAACTATTTTAATTCCAAGTTTAAAAAAGTGATCATTTTGATGTTTTATTTTTTTCAATCACAGTAAGATACTATACGGTGTTCATTGTATATCAAATTTGTGTTAAATTTTTGCAAATAGAGGTGAACACAAATGTTTTGAAAGTATGTTAATTAAAATGAACAAAACTTTAACCAAAGTCAAAAATACGTTGACCAAAATATTAATTAAATCTATAATATTTCAATTCTATACATTTAGGGACCAAACTATAAAAAAAATTGCAAGAATCTAAATATTATTATAAATATTTTTTGAATTTCGATATAGTAAGGAAATAAATTTATTACACGAGTATGAATACTCTCATTCATTGTCTGCTATGTCAACGTCTATAAAAATAATTATGTGGGATGACTACAATTACAAAGTTATTTATAAAGATAAGATCATAGCGTGAATAAATGAATATTTAAAAAAAAATTCCTCTCTTTCTTAATAGCTCTGCCACTGTGATGACATAATTTATTATGGTAATTAGTCTATCTTTTCTTTCTTTCTTTTCAGTCAATTATAGAAATGGAATTGGATTTATCTCACCAGAGGGCATTGTTTTTATTTATAAATTGTTTAGAGAAAAAGAATAAACTTCATTAAATAAAACAGGAACCATGAGAACCTTGGAGCCGAAGGGGATCTCAGAAAATCCCTCCCCAAAATTACAATCCCCTTCCTCTTGAACGCGCAACATGATGCGCTACGCAATTGACCTCTCACCCAATGAAATTGATCGAGACAATAAATTTATGGGCTACCAAACTCCGGATTTTATCCACAACCCAACAAATTTATGAGATATCTGCTTCATCCTCCTTCAACGAGTGCACAACTTCCAGTCAATCAGTTTCAAGGTAGATATCGTATCCCTCAGATTGTGCATATTTCTAAGACCATGAAGAATAGCGAAAGCTTCCATGAATTTTATAGTTCTTTTCTCTTTGATGCCCCATTTTCCAACTTGCACATCAGACCCCTTGAATTTCGCACACCTAGCCAGCGCCTCCCACTGGTCTGTCCTCTAACCAGGAAGCATCCGTGTTCATTTATTTATTTATTTTTATATAATGTTGAGTTGCTCGATAGTAAACCAGTATTGATTAGGCCAATTTGACAATAATTTTATGCATTTAGAAGTTAAGCTTATTTCTTTACCTTTTATTTTAAATCATTTTAGGCTGAATTTTTAAAAATTGAAAAACAAAAGTTGTTATAAAAAATGATTAACGAAAAATATATAGATAACTGAAATAAAAGATAGAGTCCTTAAAATTAAATTTATTTATATTTTTATTCGATCAATCAAAGAATCTACATCAAATACCTAGTAATAAATGTCAATCTAAATATGACCCAAGGAGTTAACAAACTCAAAAGATTATGAGTTTGAATCTTCCAAATTAAAATAATAATAATAATAAAATACATAGCAATAAATATTTAAATTGACTTGAAATTATTGTATTCCATCATCATTCAATGATGTCCATAAATAATAGTTCCAAATAGTAGGTGACAACTTTAATATAGCAAAATTAAATTATTGTTCCAACAGTATAGTGTACTTCTAAGTAGATTAACTAAAAAAATGCACTTCTAATATATGTCACAAATAACTCACAAATAGTTGTCACATAGCCATAAAACCACCAGAATTTAATTTAATTTTTTAATTAATATACGTGAGTCCGAACCAGCCTGCACACATTTTGATCATAACTATCACAGAAAGTTTAATACATTTCTTCTCAATCTATCATAATCCATTTGAATCCATGAATCACACCGATCATAGTTACAAACTTGCAGGAGAGAAAGGTAATTTAATATGTTGGTTTTTTGCTCGGCCCAGCGGGCGAACATGGCGGGCTCCGGCTCAAATCATCAAATGAATAGTACGTAAAGAAAGGGCTTTTTGATCCCCGATCTGAGTCTCGTCTTTCGAAGGGTCTCGTTCCGTTCATATGCCGCTCATTTGTAGCAGTACAACATGTTGGGGAAGGAAGTTAAACTCACACCTCTTGATTGATAATATATACCAATTACGAACTGCTCGCTTTGGTCGTTGAACTTAAAAATACAATACATTATTTTATTATTATTATGTTTGATGTCATTTGTATTTATTAAATAAAGTTTGCATCAAATTTTTAACGTGCTCTCTCAAGAAAAGCAAACTTTTTTTAGCTTTTTAAATTTCAATTTTGTATGGTTTGAAAATTAAAATATTCAATTTTTTTTAATTAAATACTTATCATAATAATATACTCCCTTATACATAATATGTTCAAGTTAATTGTAATGTAATACTCTAAACAAAATTATAAAATAACGAAATAAACAAAGTTGACAAATAACAAAATAAGAAATTTGCAAAAGTGATTACAGTTTGACAGTAAACAAAAGCCAGGAAGATAGTCTTTTATTAGTAATTTTTAAAATATTTGTAACCATAATTCAGCTTATTTATTTATTGAAAAATAAACAATTTAAAATAACATTAAAGATGCCATATCTCATTAAATTTATTTGTCAACTACTTTATATGTTCCAAATCGACAACATATCAACTAAAATAAATATTATTTTAATAGTAAATAGTGATTGACCATTGACTATATAAAATAAGAACATTTATAAGTTGGGGTCAACTAATGTTCACAGATTTAATTTGACAAGGTTTTTAAATTTGAAAACAGTTAGATTCGCCTGATCTCAATCGGATGTTGGTTTAAAAAGTTTTGATTTTTCCCTCCCAAAAGTCAGATCTGGTTTGTATTTATTTATTGATTTTAGTTTAGATGATAGTTTTTATTGTTTTTCTTTTTAATTCTTTTTTTTATGATAAACTTTTTAATTCGTTAACTAGTCTGAACCCAACATTCTTTGCTTAGGTTATGCTCCTATTTTACTCAACATACTTTATTTTATTTTAATCATCCACACTTTTTAATGCACATCTAATTTTGAACATTTCATCTTACAAAGTTACCAACACGAACAAGTATAACTTTCGTCAAAATCACATGTATAATTGTATTATTATTAGATGAAAAAGATAATGTCGAATCAAACTTAAATTATTAGTCCAATCTTTAAAAATATATAATATGTTAATTTTATGGAAAATATTGAATATATGAAAAATTTATTAGACATAAAATTAAAAATTAAACGATATTTTAAAATTCAATGATTTAAATAATATAAAATTTAGACTTGTTAAACGAACCTGGGAGGTTAAAATTCTAATTTAACTTAGATCTAAATAAAAAATCTAAGCTAAAATTATGGTTAAACTTTTTTACCATAGCACGTAATATACGTTGCTTTAAAAAAAAACTATATAAAAACCTTTTGTTTATTTATTTTTTTATAGAATGATAATAATTTTTTTTTCTTTTTTATTTGTATATATGTTTTTTTTGGGAGTGGAGAATGGGAATCAAACTTTAAGTAGCGTAAGATTCACTCCACATGAATTTTTTAACCGTTTTAAAAGCAGGACCTTAAGATTCACTCCACATGAATTTTTTAACCGTTTTAAAAGCAGGACCTTAAAAGCCATCAAACAGGAGGGACTAATTAATCCAACAATAATTATGATTACGAAAGTGAATTAAAAAAAGAAGGTGTGCACTAAACATGATTCTAAATATACGTCGTTAATATTTCCATCGATATATCCATGTTTTCATGGATTTGATATCGACATTTCCAATACAAGAAAATCAATAAAATATAAAAAATATCGATAATATATACATAATATTAATATTAATTATTTTTAATTAATTTAAAAATAGAAATATATTTATTTGTTAATTTAAATATTTTTTCCGATTTTTAAATTTTTCTAGGAAATATCCATCCAAGTCCTAATTTTATAACATCCATACTTCCATGAAACTGGTGAGGTGACTGTTAGAGCAAGTCGCCATGGAAAATTTAGGAAGGTTGAGGAACGGGCAGAGGGCGGGCCGCAGCCGGTCACTTGGGCGGAAGGGCCCACCTGCGGAGTTTTATCGACGGCGACAAAGATTGGGCCTCGGAGAAAAGAACACACCGCACAGCACTCCACAAATTTTGCTTGCTCGACGAACGGAGGAATTTTTTGCTTTTTATTGTCGAAATTTTCACGTGGTTTCATTTCACCAGGGAATTTCAAAAGTTTATCTTTCTCTTTCCCACCACACCGGCAGCTGATTTAGCATCCAGCATAGACTTTGTCTCCCAATCATTCAAATATCTTTCACCAACAATTTCTTACTGCAGCGGCGTCGACTCAGGTTATTGTTTCGTCGTCTTCATCCCTTCTTCAGAAAATCTACCGTTTGATTGCAGTAGCACAGTTTCCATTTCCACAGGACTGATTCTGTTAGTTGCTAGTTTATCGGGAGACTTTGCTATCTGGTCATTCATTTTTGGTTGTAGTAATCTAGTTCTATCTCTTTTTACTTTGAAGATATTTGTGTTTCCATACCAATCAAGCTGGTCTGGGAGTTGGGGGCGTTTGGTATCGAGTGTTCTGCTTCTGTAGAATAATACTTACCTTCGGGGATCAGTTTTGTCTGAAATTATTGCCGTGGCCTTAATATTAGGGGGTGTTTTTTAGTCTGCAGAGAGTAAAGAATCGGATTCTAGGTCTGCTTACATGGCCAGCTTCGTTGTGAATGTTTAGTATTTAAGTTTATCTTGGTTCTAAGTGCAATTGATTCACCGCCACGAGATAATAAGAAAACGGGTCTTGTTTAGGCGGAAGAAGGAAGCTGGGCTTGTGATTAAAAAACTGGATGGATAGATCTCTCCACCTYTTCTTTTTTTTTTTTTTAGTTTGTGCGCATATATGCATTTTTTAAAAAAATGTTCTATGAAATAGCATTAGTTTTGATTTGCTCTGCTCAACCTAGGTTCTAGGGAGTTGTGGTTACTTTTCCACCTCCAGTGCAGGTCGTCACCTATTCAAGGAGTAGTCATAGTGCTGGGTCTTACGGTACCATGTAAATTCAAAAAATAACATGTACAAGATTTTCCATTTCATGTAATCATAAAAAGAGGTGTTCATAACGAATGACTCATTTCTCATCAAGGGTGGTACATTCGAAGGTGCTCAACATTCCATGGGTGTTACAGAACTTTATCGTGCATGTCTTTCAAGGTATAGGCTCCTGGTCGGATAATTCCAGTTATGCGACAAGGGCCCTCCCAGTTAAGGCCGAGTGCCTCGTCCGATCGGTTCTTCGTGTTCAGCATCACCTTTCTCAACACCAGAGTCCCGACATCGAACCTGCATAGTTTTACCCGCAAGTTGTCATATTTGGCTGCTCGGCTATGATGTTGAGCCATGTGGAGCCGGACGACTTCTCCATGTTTCTCCAAGAGATCCAAGGAACTTCGAATGCCCCACTCGTTTTGCTATTCCTCGAAAGCTTTTATCCTTAGCGTGGGTAGCTTCATCTCTACGAGCACCATCACCTCTATCCCAAATAAGAGTGAGTATGGAGTCCCGCCCGTGGAGGATTGAGCCATGGTTCTATATGCCCACAATACACTAGGGAGCTCTTCGGCCAAGAAGCCCTTGAGTCCTTCCAGCTTCACTTTCAAGATCGTTTTGATGATCTTGTTTATGGCTTCAACCTACACGTTGGTTTGGGGATGGGCTAGTGAAGAGCTGAGGTGCTTGATCCCCAGGTCCGAGTAGAACTTCTTAAAGTTAGCATTGTTGAACTGCTTACTATTGTCGGAGATAATGGCATGAGGCACCCCGAACCGGCACACTATACTCTTCCATACGAAGGTAGTTACCTTCTGCTTGGTTATCGTTGTCAATAGTTTGGCTTCCGCCCATTTCGTGAAGTAGTTAACCACGACCATGGTGAACTTGGTTTGACCTTTTCTCGATGGAAGCGACCGTTCAAGTTGATGCACTACTGTGTGAATGGCCAAGGGCTAGTGAGATTGGTCACCTCCTTCGATGGTAGCTTAGGTACGACGGCCATTTTCTGGCAGTGATTGTATCTCCACGTGAACTTCTTGGAGTCCTTTTCTAAGGTCGGCCAGTAGTACTGTTGGCATAGGATTTTGCTAGCTAGTGCTCGTCTGGCCAAGTGGTCTCCACAGACGTCTTCGTGCAACTCGCTGAGCACATACTCTGCCTCTTTGAGGCCGATGCATCGGAGAAGTGGGAGTGAATATCCTCTTTTGTATTGGATTTAGTCCTTTAGAATATAGTGCGCCACTCATTGCTTAAGGCGATGGGCTTCCATTCGACTCTTTGGTGTCTCCCCATTCTTCACGTGCTTAATGATGGGTGTCCTCCAATCTTCGGCTTCCAGTCGGTCTATGTCCATCATCTCGGCTTCGGCAAGACCCGACTCTTCATGATCTCGACCATCACTATCCTCGAGAGGTTTGTCTCGTAGGTGGATGCTAGCCGGGCTAGGGCGTTAGCATTCACGTTTGTAGATCGCGGGACTTGTTTGACGATTTGGGCCTTAAAAGAGTTTAAGGGAGTTCGCACCTTTCGAAGGTACAGGGCCATTCGCGAGTCACCGAAGACGTGGATATTTCGTGCCTCCATTGATTTGGCTAACCGGAGGCCCACGATCAATGCTTCATATTCGGCTTCGTTATTAGAAGCGCGAAACTTGAACCACAAGGCGTTCTTGTGGCGGCTTCCCTCAAAAGTAGTTAGAAGTATTCCCACTCCATAGTGATTACGCTTGTTTACATGGGTAAAAAGAAGGTTTTAGATGCTGTTTTTACTATGTTTTAACTTTGTTACGGACTTTTTCTCGGTCGTTTGAGTTCCAATTCATGCAAAATTCATATATGATGGTTTGTGGTTGGCTTATATTGTATTTATGACATTTTAGGACCATTTGGGAGTGCAAATTAATCAAAAGAAGCAAAAAGACGAAAAAACCTTCATTGGAGGCGCCAGGCGCCTGGTAGGCTGCAGAAATCCTAGTTTTCTTCCAACTTTGCCCTTAATGAAACACGTCTTCCAATGCGTTTTGGTGGTTCCAACCGATGCATACGTGTAGAAGAAGTGTTCCACTATCAGTTTGAGCATGGTTTGGTCAGTTAAAGGAGTTGGAAATGGGTGATCCACCAGCGTTTTAGGACCTACCTAACCAATTCT